AGAAACAGTAAATGGTGAAGTAACTCAGCAAATCTGGTAGCATCTGTGGAGAGAAACAGAGTCAACATTTTAAGTCCAATCTGACTCCTGTAAAATAGTATTCAGCATTTCTGCGTTGATTCCGAAACTGTTCCGGTAGAGTTTAGAAGCAGCAAGGAGCAGCAGCAATCATTTGTAGGAGAGGTTTATAAGCCAATAAAACATGACTGGTGATGCACCAAAAAGGGGTAACTTCAACCTACATGGAGATTAGATAAAACTAATGAGAACCAATCCTGTGGTGAAAAGAATTCCTAGACTGTGATCAGTATAGTCTTCTGGAGCAATATGTGAAGGTGACAAGAAAGTCCAAATTAATAACCTTGAAATAAAAGAACCTTTACAGAACAATGAGCACATAATCTTAGAATTTTCCGTAAAGTTTGGGAAAAAAAATTAGCCCAATGTGAAACTAGGACTTAAATCTAAACAAAGGCAATTATGAAGGTCAAAGGAGGAAAGTGGCTGCAGTGGATCAGAACAATATATTTAAAAAGGTTTGACAGCAGATAGGCAACGATTAAAGAATTAACGATCGGTTTATTAAAAAAAAAAATCACACTCCTTTATGGCGAGACAAAAAAACAACAGGGAAAGTGAGAGAGCGATGGTTAACTAGGGAAGTTAATGACTGTATTAAATCAAAGGTGGAAGGTTATAAAGTTATCAAAAAAAGTTGTAAGCCCGAGGACGGGGAGTATTTTAGAATTCAAAGAAGGAACGGAACAAAATATGAATGTAAAATAGCAAGGAACATACAAATAGATTATAAAATCTTCAATAGGCATGCAAAAAAGAAAATATTAGCAAATCTGGGCCGACTAAATGAAGAGACATTATAGTTTATAATAGCTTATACAGAAATGGCAGAAAAGCTAAATAAGTACTTGTGTGTCTCTCTTAATCAAGAGAAGCAAAAGATGTCTCACTGAAGTAATTAAGATGCCAGGATCTAATGAGCGTGGGTAAATGAAAGAAATTAGGATTATTGAAAAAAACACAGTACTGGAGAAATTAATGGGAGTTCTTAACTTTCGATGAATCTGGTAACTTTCAACATACCAATGTTGAAGATGATAGCTACAGAGAGTGAATGCATCGATAATCATCTTTCAAACCTCTATTAACCCTGCAACAAGTCTTGCAGATTGAAAGTTTGCAAACATAAGATGAAGAGGAACGTATGATGAGGAAATCAACAATTAGAAACCTGATAGTTTTTTAAGGATGTTACCAGCAATGTCAATGATGGGCAACCAGCGGATGTGAAGTATTTGGATTATTAGAAGGCTTTTGGTAAAATCCCTTTCAGGAGTTTAGTGAACAAAATTAAAATTCATGGAATTGGGGGCACTGAGGACTGGTTAACAGGCAGAAAGTAGAGGCTATGAATATTTGGGTCATTCTCAGATTGGCAGGCTATGACCAGTAGCATATCACCCCAGTTGTTCACAATCTATCATCAATGATTTGGATGCGGGGGCCAATCATAATCTTTCCAAGTGTGCAGATGGCACACAACTTGGTGGGAATGAGAATTGTGAGGACAGTACAAAGAGGCTTCAATGGGATCTAGTTAGGCAGAGAGTGAGTGGACAAGAGCATGGCAGCTGGGCTATAATGTGGATGCGTAAGGTTATCCACTTTGGAACAAAGGTGCAGAGTATTTCTTAAAAGTAAAAGATTAGGAAGTGTTGATGTTCAAAGCCACCTCCTTGTTCATAAACCACTGAAAGTTGACAGATGCAGCAAGCAAACAGGAAGGCAAACAGTATGTTAGCATTTATCACAAGAGGGTATAAGTACAGGAGCAATGAAATATTACTTCAATTGTATAGGGCACTGATTAGCCTGCAGCTGGAATCTTTTGGACATGTCTGGTCCCCTTGCCTAATAAAGGATATACTTGCCGCAGAGTAGTTGCAGACAGGATAGACAATTGTGGGGTACCTAAAGCAAAGCAATTGCAGCAGCTCAAGGCAGCAGATCATTACCACTTTCTCAAGGGCACCAAGGGATGGGCGATAAATATTGTCTCAGCAGCAATGCATGCATCCATGGGGAGGTGTTGAGTGGACAGATGGAGACAGAGCCCAGAGAGAGACAGTTATTCAAACAAAGGGATGGCTGATAGTAAACCAGGGAAGGTACAAGCTGATAATGGAGGCAATGAGATGAGAATGGGTTGGTTGTGATGAAAGCTGCCCATGTCATGACAGGGCCTGAGGTATGGGGAGTGGTTAAAAGGGAATGGAAGGTGGTATCAGACCCTAAGGCCATCAAACTCAATATAGAGTCCTGAAGGCTGTAGGGTCTCCAGGCGGAAGATCTGCTCTTCCAGCTTGCACTGAGCTTCGTTGGAGCATTGCACCAGCCCAAGACAGGTGCTGATCAGTGATGTGTTGAAACTGCAGGCAACTGGAAACTCAGGGTCATTTTTGCAGATAGAAAGTAGATGCTCTGCAAAGCAGTCACCCGGTGTATAGAAACCACATTGTAAGCAGAGAATACAGTAGGCTAGATTGAGTGAAGGGCAGGTAAATCACTGCTCCACCTGGAAAGGGTGTCATGGGCCTTGAGCGGTGAGGAGGAAGGAGGTAAATGGGTAGGTGTTTCACCTCCTGCAATTACATGGGAATGTTACTGGGGTTGTGGGTTGCGTGAGGACTAGGGTGTGCCAGAGCGAACAGTCCCTGCAGAACACTGACATACAAGTGGAAGGGAATGCATGTCTGATGGTGGCATCCTGCCAGAGGTGGCAGAAATGGTAGTTTATGACCCTTGGGCTGCAGACTGGTGTGGCAAGTGAGGACCAGGGGTGCCATATCAGTTTCACGGGAGGGAAGAGAGGGCTGAGGTCATAAGTGCTAAGGATACTGTCAACCACAGGAGGGGGGAAAAGGTGGACAATGGGTAGGGGCAAATGCTGATTTGGGCCACAATAGTTTCAGCCATGATCTACTGAAAACAAAAAGGTGAAACATTGTTTTCATACCAGCCACCTTCAGAGAAACACCAACTTTCTAAAAAAAAGTGCTAGCTAGATTTGAAGTTAATAAAAATCGTGACAGCTGTCCTGATGATTCTGTTGGTATAATCAATATTTGAACCTATTGGACCAGGAGGTTCTTGCTAGGTTCTGATGCTACCAAAGTTGAATAGCCAGATGAGGCACAGTGCCTCGGGTCACACTTGAAATAAGATGAGACCGGTGCTTAGGAGATGGTACTGGCAAGGATGGGGAAGGGAGAGAAAACTGTAGAAAGGATACAAGTAAAAGGCCAGCTTGTAACACAAATCCATAAGCATAATCACAGAGGCAGCCTCGAACATTGTGGCTGTGTTTGATCTAAACCATGTCCATCAGAGCTAACATCCAATATTGGAAATGCAACACAGCACCCATTCCCCTGGGTGCATCATGAGCAGATGTGTAATTGCCAGATTAATTTACCCATAATGAAAAATTAAGTTTTTAATTAAACTTGGGTTCACTGAAAAGATTAGAGCTTTGCTGTAGTGAGCTATCTTGTGCTTCAATGAAAAAGCATACATGAACATAAACACAACACAGATTTCCACAATCTCTAGACCTGAGATCATGGTACAGTGATTCAACTTTCTGATAGACTAACAGGATCTCCCGAGCAGACACGGGACATTGATTATTCATGGCTTTTCAAGGTAACAGCTGGTATAATATTCAGTGACTCATTTTAAATAAAAAAATCCTTGATACCTTCAGATATGTTTTCAAATGCTGAATTTAAAAATATGAAAGGCAGCTGACTCTTGTCCAGACTGAATTTAGCTTCCTGTTCTGAGAGGGGGAAACCCACAAAAATTGGAATGTGACAGAACGTGCCACTTAGGAAAAATTTTATTTGGGTACGGATGAAGTAGATAGATTTGACCTGAAACATTGTACAATTACTGAATTTACTGTAAGCTGTGAACATATCAGTGCAAACGCAAGAAAATTCCTTAATGTAGCAATGTCACCCTATCAATATTTTGAAATGTCATTATTCAGAGAAGGGAACGAATATGTAGACAGAAACGCCCATCTTTCTCCAACTTAATAAACTTCAGATCACTTAAATAAAAATACATTATGAGCCTCGCCGTTAGTCCTGGAAAAATCACTGCACCTCAAATGATTTTTAACGTAAGTCACTCGCATCTCTCATTGTACAATGCAGGAACTGAGAGTGAGTTGTAAACACTATGCACAGTTTAGTATTTGCAATTACACCAGAATCCAGTCAGTATTCCACAATGCATTGAATTATGACTGTCAAGGTTCATGTAAAGAATCACCTCCTGGTTGTGATACTTGATAGTACATTGGTGCAGCATCAGTAGAAATTCACTGATAGCTGTGCTCTTATTACAGATATAAAACTGACAACTGGCTGTTCAATATCATGAGCAACCAGTGTTCCCTGCCAAATCTGTGAAGGCTCCATTCTGGAGGCCCTCTGCCAGAAGCAGCAGTTGAGGCTTTCGCTGGCTCTTAATTGCCCTTTGCAGTGGGGTCTAGAAAGCCACTCAGTTCAAGAACAATTAGGAACAGCGAAACAAATTCTAGTCTTTGCCATGTGCACCAACTCATGCTGTCTGCACATGTACTGACAATGTTGCCTTCCAGCAATATTGTTACGAGGCTCAATTTCAGGTAAACCTGTCTCATTTGCTGAAATGAATTTCCATCTTGGTATTTTCATGAGAAAGTCTAAGCAACCCGAGTATACAGTGACTAAATTTTGCAGATCTTCAGCCTTGTGGAACCTATAGTCTCGAAGGTGAAACTAAGTAGAAAGAAGTAATGGTTTGGAAAAGGAAAATAGTTATAAGAATGAGAAAAACCTTGGTGGTTTCTGGAAATATACTTGCAGTAAACTTCAGTCAAAGAGTTTAACTCAAGGTTAAATACTTATAATTCAGCCATCAGGACTCACCTCGCTCCTCCGCCTCCCAGGACCAGTGCAATGGAATTGCCAGTAAGAATTCGAGCCAAGCGGGAGAAATCCGAGTGACGATCTGGCAGCTTCTGAGAGATTCTTTGGTACATCTCGAGCTGAGAAAGCATAAGACCAAACAGTAACATGCATCAGTTTGACTGACAGTGGTATAAGTGCCTACATTAGGCATAATATTAAAATTAAGCACAGCATAGTATGAAAACGCCAAAGTACTAAGTTATTTGTCTTTGCGACAAATTACACCTTGCAAACTTTTTCCATCAAATTTTACACAAGCAATTTTCCAAGCTCAAGATTGGAGTGAGTGTGGATTCCTCAGAGACATAAACTTAGCAGATACACTGAACAAAAGTTTCCACTGTGGCTATCTTCCATACAACAAGCAAAAATGCCCTTATCATTGTGCTAGTCATCCTTTTACCGAGGAAGGGTCACCGGACTCGAAACATTAACTCTGGTTTTTCCTTCACAGATGCTGCCAGACCTGCTGAGCTTTTCCAGCAACTTTGTTTTTGATCCTTTTACTGAATCAGGAGTCATTCTGTCTTCCACAGCTATTCATTTGCATTTCATAACTGAATACAAACTCCAGTCTACTTTCCTCCCCTCCTTTAAATAACTCCTTTTACTGGAAAATCCAGCCTTAAATTCATAGGCTCAATGATCATGAAATGTTTCTTTCTCAAAGAGACCGTCATTTACAACAATGTCAATTATGACCATATATTTTGGTTGACAGGTGGAGGAAAACAGAGCTGCTGAGAGCAATGGTCCTCCTCTAATAGAGTCATATAGCACAGAAACAGACCCTTTGGTCAAACTCGTCCATGGCACCTAGACATCCCAATCTGAGTCAGTCCCCTATGCCAGCATTTAGCCCATAGCCCTCTAAACCCTATCTATTCATATACCCATCCAGGTGCCTTTTAAATGTGGTAATTGTACCCGGCTCCACCACCTCCTCTGGCAGGTTGCTCCATGCACGTGCTACCATCTGCGTGAGAAAGTTACCCCTCAGGTCCTTTTTAAATCTTTTCCCCTGACACCTTAAACCTATTCTCTCTAGTTTTGGATTCCCCCACCCGATAAATAAGGCCTTGACTATTCAGCCTATTCATGCACCTCATGATTTTATAAACCTCTAAGGTCACCCCCTCAGCCTCCGATGCTCCAGGGAAAGATGGCCCAGTCTATGCAGCCTCTCCCTATAACTCAAACCCTCCAGTCCTGGAAACATCCTTGTAAATCATTTCTACACCCCTTAAGTTTAACAATATCCTTCCTATAGAAGGGTGACCAGAATTGTATACAGTATTCTAAAAGTGACCTCACCACCAATGGCCTGTCCAACATGATGTGCCAACTCCTATACTTAATGTTCTGACCAATGACAGCAATCATGCCAAATGCCTTCTTCACCACTCTGTCTACCTGGGGCTCCACTTTCAAGGAACTATATGAACCTGCATGCTAAAGTCTCTGTTCAGTAACACTTGCCAGGACTCTACCATTACGTGTATAAGTCCTGCTCTGATATGCCTTGTCAAAATGCAACACCTCACATTTATCTAAATTAAATTCTATCTGACACTTTAGCCCACTGATTCAGGTCCCAGTGTACTCTGAAATAATCTTCCTCACTGTCCATACCACCACCTACTTTGGCGTCATCTGCAAAATTACTAACCATACCTCCTATATTCACATCCAAATAATTTATATAAATGATGGAAAGCAGTGGACCCAGCACTGATCCTTGTGGCACGCCACTGGTCACAGGCCTCCAGTTTGAAAAGCAACCCTCGACCACCACCCTCTGTCTCCTACTTTCAAGCCAATTTGTATCCAATTGACTAGCTCCCCTGGATTCCATGTGATCTAACTTGATTAAATCAGTCTATCCTGTGGAACTTTGCCAAACACTTTGCTGAAATCTACATAGAAAACACCTACTGCTCTGTCTTCATGAATCTTCTTTGTCACCTCTTCAAAAGACTTAATTAGGCTGGTGAGACATGATTTCCCACGCACAAAGCCACATTGACTATCCCTAATCAGTCCTTGCCTTTCCAAATACATGTAAATTCTGTCCCTCAGAATCCCTTCCAATGACTTTCCCATCACTGACCTAAGGCTCACTGGTCTAAAGTTCCCTGGCTTTTTCTTACAGCCGTTCTTAAATAGTGGCATCACATTAAACAAACTCCAGGACTGTTACAACTTCTGTTTTACTTGTGTGGGCATCAGCACTTAATTTCTATCTTCCCCATACCCATGAAAACATATGCAGTGTGCCTTAAACACTACCGCCCAATAGCTCTGACTTCAATAGTCATGAAATGCTTTGAGAGGCTGATCATGACCCACATCAATTTCACTCTCCCAACCTGCCTCAATCCCCTACAATTTGCCAACCAACATAACAGATCCACAAAGGATGCCATATCCCTAGGCCTGCACTCATCCCTAGAACATTTGGACAAAGACACCTATGTCAGACTCCTGCTCATTGACTACAGCTCCACCTTAAACACCATTACCCCTCTGACTGATCTCAAAACTGTGGGACCTTGGTCTCGGCTCTGCCATCTGCAACTGGATCCTCAGCTTTGTGGCCTATGGGTCACAGTGAGGATAGGTAAATGCACCTCCTCCACAATAACACTCAACATTGAAGCGCGCTCCCCCGCCCCCCCCAAGGATGAGTCTTCAGCCCCCTACTGTACTCCTGTACACCTACAACTGTGTTGCCAAATTCCGAACAAACTCCATCTACAAGTTCGGTGACAACACCACCATAGTGGGACAGTTATTTAACAACGATGAGTCAAAACACAGAAGGGCGATAGACGGCTTGGTGACGTGGTGCAATGAAAACAGTCTGTCTGTCAGCCAGCATCAACAAAACTACAGAACTGATCATCAACTTCAGAAAGAAGGGAGGAGAACACGGCCCCATCTACATTAATGGAACTGAGGTTGAGAGAGTGAAGAGCATCAAGTTCCTCAGAGTGACAATAACTGACAACCTGTCCTGGACTTCCCACGTAGATGCGACAGTCAAGATGACACAACAACGCCTCTTCTTCTTCAGGCAGCTCAGGAAATTTGGCATGTCCATAAGGTCCCTCACTAACTTCTACAGATGCACCATTGAAAGTATACTGTCCGGGTGTATATCGGCCTGGTACGGCAACTGCTCTGCCCAGGACCGTAAGAAACTACAGAAGGTGGTGTGCACAGCCCAGACCATCACAGAGGCCAACCTTCCATCCGTGGACTCTATTTATGTGGCTCGCTGCCGCAGAAAGATGGCCAACATCATCAAAGACCCATCGCAACCTGGTAATGATCTCCTACAACCTCTTCCGTCAGGCAGAAAGATACAGAAGCCTGAACACACGCACAAGCAGGTTCAGGAACAGCTTCTTCCCAGCCGTTATCAGGCTGCTGTATAGACTCTAGCCTTGAATAATGTAACCTGTATGCCTCGAAGTCTTTCTGATCTGTACATTCTTTGCTTGCTGTGATCTGCCTGTGATCGTAAACAAAGCTTTTCACTGTATTTCGGTACACGTGACAATAAAATCAACCACCTCTTTAATTGCCCAGAGGGCAATATGAGTCAATCGCACTGCTGTTGGTCATGAGTCACTTATAGGCCAGACCAAGTAAGGATGGCAATCTTCCTCCCGAGAAGGAAGGAAAGCTCTCAAGGACATTAGTGAACCAGATGGGTGTTTTCCAACAATTGACAATGGTTGTCAGCGGACGAGCATTCTAATCCCAGATTTTTATTGAATTCAAATGTTACCATCTCCATGGTGGGAGCCCATGTCCCTGGAACACCTGGACTATGAGTCCAGTGGAATTCCCATTATGTCCCCTTAAACTGCACATGCATTTATGATTTGTTGTAATGACACTGATATTCTATCAAAATATGGGAAAATCTCTTGGAAGCATCTCTCTTTTAGACACTGGTTCTACATAGCAGCTGCCTTAGTAAATTTTGCTCTCGATTACATCTGAGCTTTAGACCAGAGCCAGAAGCCAAAAGATTCTAAATCTTTAGGCACTCTCTAATATTCTACAGGTTTTTAAAAAAAAGCCTTGTAATGGTGACTGATTCAAAGAGCAAGCAATAGACACACCAAAAATAACAACCTCTCTCACAAGATCAATCTTTTTGCAAATTAACTTCAAATAAGGTAAGCAATAGAAATGGAAAATTTGAAGAGTTGAGGATAGATTTCTTTAGGGATCCATTGCCAGAAGACTGTTGGAAACCATGCTTTACAGGTGTATATGGTGTTTCAGGTAAGTCTACAGCCCTGAGGAATCCACATTGAGCTTGGAACATTGCAGGGCTCTGACAAATTTTTAAATCCATAATCATCATCGCAAGAAAACAAGCCCTTGACTAGATCAATAGAAACTGGACCCAAATCAAAGAAGTGCTCTTTGTAGAGTGACAATTAACAATTCACATTTTTCTGGTTCTCAAATGTGCAAAAAGCTCATCTTTAACAATCAGCTTCAGCATCAACTGCCCAGTACCAACTAGTGATCTAGGAATAAGTGCTGCTTGAATGGGTGTCAATACTCTTGCTTTTAACCACAGCTGGTGCTGAAAGCCTAATTCAAATTAGAATTTAATTTTATACTTGTTGAAAACTCATTTTACTTGTTACCACAGTGGGCCCTTAGGCTTTAATCAAGGTTATATTACATAACTCATTTGTCCACTTGAGCAGAACCCCATCCACCACCAGCACACTGTGGCTGCAGCGTACACCATCGAAAGCTGCACTGCAGCGACTCTAATATTTAAACATACTTATTCATTCACAGGCCAGCAGTTATCATCTCCCGCCAGTTGCCCTTGAGGTGGTAGTGAGCTGCATACTTGCGCTGTTGCAGTCCATGCGCTGTAGATTGGCCAACAATGCCATTGGGGAGGGAATTCCAAGATACTAAACCAGTGGCAGTGCAGGAGCGGTGGTATATTTCTAAGTCAGGATAGTGAGTGGCTAGGAGGGGAATTTTTGGTTGGTGTAGTTCTCATGTATCTGCTACCCTTGTCCTTCCAGAT